TTTGGCCAAAATTAAGCTTAATTCGGGCCATTATTCGAAATAACGCTCATGAGCGTTATTACGCGAAAATACGGTATTACTTTATCAATTAATTAGTCATGTGCAAAAACACATAAAGGCCTATATACATAAAGGTTCTTATTTTGGTAAAGTACTGTTTATAATTTGTATCATAAAATTATAAATTTAAATGTTATGATGTAGCCTATTCGCAAGGAATCCAATTGATTTAAAGAAAATTTTATTAAGACTCTATATACAATATCAAGGCTCCAAAGTTGTAAGAAAATACAAGATTACATGATAAAAGCTATTGAACCACCAATAAATTCAGAGTCAGACATTTACGTTCTTTTTGCTACTGCTAATGAATTTACTCTAATTCAGCTAATTGATCGCTTTAAGGAATTTGTAAATCTACCAAACACGTACAAATTTTTTTTTGGATTTACATATTATATTCAGAATAATAAATAAAATATTTATTTAGCTTATTAAAAATGGACCTTCTTAGTTAAAAAGAAAAAAGATTTAATTGGATTTCTTTGTAATATCTTTGATGAAAAAAGGTATAAGAAAACCAAAGATTATATTACAGTATTATGGACGCTATTTGTATAGATTCAGAACCACTATTATTTGAGTTAGAGAATTTTCTAACAATAAAAAAGATATTATTTTAAATTTATTTAAAGAGGCAATCTAGTCATTGAAGAAGTTGATGTTTGGAAATGTTTTGATTAAATGGGCACCAGCTCAGTTTAGTTTCTTATATAATTTTAGTGTCAATTATTGAGAAGAGAATGAATTTTCATTACTTAAACCACTTATATCATGTTCGATTTTGTGAAATAACACAAAATTATTGTGTCATGCATTATGAAAAAGCATTACCAGAGAATCTCTATAAAAGCTTAATAGCTTATTTCATGGCTAATTTGAAACCACGGAGTTTTATTTTGCGACTACTTAATGGATTAATTAATATCGAATATACTATTATTAAAAGAAAAAAAATACTAGAATCATTGTCAGGTGTATCGAAGGTGTAACTGCCCTCATCTAAGATCTTTATTACGAGTTTACGTGTATTTACCGATAACCCGTAATGAATTTGATATTAGAAAATTTATTGAAGATTCATTTCCAATAAATGAAATATATACAGTTTGTTCTTTGTTTTGGAAGTGAAAAAGGTTCCAATTTTCCTGAGATATCATCGCTCAAAGTTTTTTTAAAAAATTTGGTTATCTTTAAGCAATAATAAATCATGGATAAAATTTCATTCGAAGGTGTCATTTGAAATTATATGGTCGGAATGCAATTTTGAATGATTGTATTGATATATTCTTACATCTATCCTTTATAAGTATGCTAATGAAAATTAATATTATTTGTAGATATCTTGTAAATATATTACAGTATATGATACTATTACTAAGTTTATCATCAACACCCTAATAGTTTTATATATAACACTCAAAGAATTTTTTATTTCGTCTAAGAACATCCAAAAAATCTTGGATGCCAAAACAGACGGCTTCGACTTCCAACTCGGAATATTAGATTATATAATGAGATAAAAAATCTGATATTTATCAGTTTTCGAGCTAAATTTCACGAGGGAGTCCATTATTCCAAATCTTTAACTATTTATCTTTACATAATTTAAGGAAATAAAGAGGAACTAATAGATCAACTTATTGTTAAGTTAAAAATAAAGATTCTTCAAGTGATCAATTTTTTTTTAAAAAAAATAATCCTATTTCGTAAGTTTAGCTTATCTAATTGGCCTTTTAAACCCATAAATAATCGCTATGCACAATTACAATCACATCGTAACTAAAACTCGAGGTTGGACACAGTGACTACCAAGATTACCTGCGAGTGGTTCAGGTATCGGGTTGGAGTATTTTTAAAACAAGTTTTTATAATTCGCAGATAACTAAGTTTATTCCATTCGTTGTTGGATGAGTTACTTTACTAATTTGTAATTAAATATTGCAAATTATTAAACTCGCTAATATTTGCTATTGCAGTATTACTATACTTTAATTTTATTTATTCGAATTATTCCAGTTGATTATAAAAATTATCTAAGTTGAGTTTGTCAATCACTATTTAAAGTAGGCTATTCAAGTTCGTGAACATACCTTAATTTCATTTTATTCTTATAAATGTTTAAGCTCGTGATTATTACTGCTATACTATTTAAAATCTTAGAGATTTTCCTGTTATAATCATCAAAAAAATCATAGAGTTGCATCTTCAAAATGTTATAATAACCTAATGAATTATCTTACAATTTAAATTACTCCACTCTTTATATAGCTCAATAATAATAAACTCACTCATGTTCGTTCCTCACAATGACTTAGATAAATAAAGGCTGTAAGATTTATTAACGCACCATCATATGAAAACAGAAACCTATGTTTGAATTTCACATAAGCTCTAAGTCAAAAATTTAAAAACTATGAGCGTTGATAAGTGAAAAAAAAAACTTGTAGCATTGTTTCTCGAGGTTCACTTTTAAGTTCAGAACATGTTGTTCGAATAATCAATAATATCTTGCATCTCTAATCATGAGTCAGAATCATTATTTTTTTGAAAAAAAAAACAAAAATCGTTATTTCAGTGTCACCCATGTGTTTACCTTTAATATGGATAATTTCCAATCTGCTTAAAACGGGTCATTGATGTGCATAGTTTTATGGTATATATCAACCAATTGACCTTTTAACCCAGTTTCTTTTAGCCTTATTAAATTAATTATTTGAAGTAATAAACAAAATATATAAAGGTAAACGGCTATAAATTTTGATTGTTGATTGATTAGATACATACGATAAGCGGTGTTAATTAGCCAAATAACGATTTTCATAAATTACAATTCTCTGTATAAAGGTTAAAATAAGTTGTGTAAAAAAAAAAAAAACCGACCCACATATAGTCCTGTAGTTTCTGCGAAATATTTATTATCGCCTTAATTACTCGAAGAAGATTAGATGAATAATTTCACCATTATTGGTGAATTTGGCGTTTATTTATTGAATGGTAAAATTAATTTCACCACATCTCTAGAGAAGATATTTAGAGAACACATAGGAATCAGCTATAATTACTTCAAGGAAGGTTTATATTTCAAGAATTTGATTACGGTATAAAAAAATTTTAAAGTTTTAAATTAGAGTTTAAGAACACTAAGGTCTATTTTAATACAAAATTTATCATTTTTTTTCAGTTTATGCAGTAGATTTAAATAGGGGTCACTTCTGAGTTACTGCCCGAATTAAACTTAACTCGCAGTGAGAAAGTGGCAACTATTCCGGGATCGAATACACGATATCAATCAACACTAAAGCTAGTTTAAACATTACACTCAAACTAAACACTAATAGCGGCAGGCTACGAAAGAGGCGCGGAAGACTTGGTCCGAGTTATTAAGGTCAAATAGAGCTCTAGATTACGTCATGAAGCTCTACTAAACTACTAATTCTTTATTCTTTATACGAATTTGATTTATTGAGGGAATTAGTAGAACAACCACATTTATAATTTGAACTCTGAGTCTTAAACTCTAGTGTGTTAGCTTTATTGAGTGAAAAAGGTATTGCTTTATAGTTTTACATGCTTATTTAAATTTAATGATATGAACCGAGAAAAATTTCCTTAATCGGTTAACCGAACCGAATTATTTCATTCAATCGGTTGCAAACCGGTTACAATTATTGTCACAGATTATGCTGAAGTTGGCTGATGCTGAAGTTATGACCTATTTTATTATGAAATTTTAAAAAATTTTAGGGCTTTTTGTTAGGGGGTTTTTTTTAGGGTTAGGTTAGGGTTTAGGGTTGGTGTTATTAGGAAAAGAGTATATGTGAATTTTAGTAGGTACTATAGATTTAAAATGGGAACCCTAAACTTCAGCATCAGTCAACTTCAGCATAATTATTATCATAATTCCTGAGACACCTAATAAAAATTGTCCGAACGATTTTTCGGCCGATTCTGATTTCGGGATAATAGATTCAATAAATTGGTATATGGGTCGTTTGCTAGGAAAATCACTGTCTGAAAGCAAGTGTTAAATGGGGATTTTCCTAGCAAACTATATGTGAGTTTCAATTATTTTTTGTACCGGATACAATTCCTAATAAATTAGATTGTATCCAATACAAAATATAATTGAAGGCCTCTTCCCTTGACGACATTCATATATGTAATTTAAGAACAGGTTATTTTCAAGGCATCTTCACTGGCAAATAATTGAAAAATTTTTTAGAAAGCATGGAATATGCCTATTAGGGGTTATCCTTTCCCTGTAAGAAATTTTATCCGAATACTTAACAGAAACTTATGATTTTGCTAAATATATATAAAATTTAGTTTTGATTATGTAATTTAATTTTGATTATGTTATCTTAATAATATTTAGCTTGTTATCATATTTTTAATAGCTAATAAAAATTTTTCAAAAGAAAAATTATAAAATTAATGACAACTATTTATAAATTGAAATAATAATTAAAATTTAAAATCGGCAAATTATATGTAAAATTGATCAAAAAATTTTTTTTGTTTGTAATCAAAATTTATAATTATAAATGTTTTTTTAATTTTTTTAATATGATATATAATTAATTCTATATTTAATAAATAAACTGTATTATTATTTATGATAACAAATAAATTTCATTTTCATATTTTCATAAATAAATCTAATTATTGCGCTTTGCAAACACTGCAGATCATTTTTTCATGTGAGAATCGGAGATTTTATAGATTTTTTGGATTTTAAGAATTAAACTGATTTCAAAGAAATATAAACGTAACCAATAAAAATATAAAGTAACAGACAATCTGGAATCTTAGTAATTCTCAGCCATCATCATCACTAAAATCACATGTTCACATCTTTTTGTAAAGCGCTATAACTTTCGCGTGAATACTGCTTGTGAAAATTTCCAAAATCGTTGAGGAAATTGATAATTTAATTTAAGAAAATAAAAGGTGATTGTGCAGGTATGTATTTGGCGATATCCTCAATATATGGTTAAAATTTCTATGTGATTAAGGTCAAGCTAGTTTTAATTGGAATATTACGAATTCTATATAGGTAATTCTGTGCTGGTTTGTATTTGAATTAGTAATTTCTATCATGAGTTTCTAAAAAAAATTCACTTACAAAGTTTACTCACTATTTTGATAACCATGATATATTTAGTTAAGTTAGTTTGCATTAGAATTATTTTGATTTCTGCGTAATTAAGTTTTAGTAGTTGTATTTAAATTGCTTAATTTCTATTAATAATAATTCTTTACAGAACTTACTTGCTATTCTAGTCACCAATGTGTGGTGAGTTAGCTTGAATCAGAACTATTATTATTATACTGTAAAAATCTAATTACTAAATATACTATTCCGGTGACTACAGTATATAATTAGGTTAGTTTGTATTGGATTATAAGTTACTATAATAAATTCTGTCACAAAAATTACTCTCTAATACATACATATAGTAATTAAAGTTGTTTTAAAATTATTGTGATTTCTACTAGAAAGATTTTTACAGAACTTGCTTGATATTCCGATAACCATATGATTGAGTTAGTTTGCATAAGAACTCTCTATGTGATTAAGGTCGAGTTAGCTGTATTAGAATTATGACTGTTAAAGAACTCACCTGCTATTTTGATAATCACAATATACAGTTAAAATTGAGCCAGTATGCATTGAAACT